CCAGCCACAGCACCCGCCATTCCCCCCACCCGGGGAGACTGTAACAGCACAGGGTAGTCCACTCCCAACAGCAGCACTCCATCCCCACCCATCATTCTCAGTGAACTGCCCATCAAGAATTGCAGGGGGATGAAGAAGCATAGCCAACCACCACCTTGTGCCACCGCCGCCAGCTCCCAGGAGCAGGGGAGAGGGGGGAAAGCTTGCACAGGGTGGCTGCTGCCGCCGCCACGCACCCTGTGCTGCTGTTGCTCCGCATCCATGTGCGCGCCACTCCCCCACCCCGCATGTCTGGCACCGCACCACACCCCCACCCTGGCAAGCAGTGGTAGTGCAGGGTGGTGGGTGATGCCACTGTGTCCCCACCCACCCTGCCCATCATTCTTGACACAGCACTGGCTGAAGCCACACCCCACTTCACCAAAAGCGTTAGTGACATGCACACAGACAGATGGACTAAGTCCTTTTTATTTTTATATATATATATATAAAATCTCAATATAGCCACTGCAAAGCATGTAATATTATACCCCCCCAGTGGCACCAGGTTGTATTAAACATCAGGAGAATCTCAGTGTACACAGAGTCCAAAGAGCCCCAAAATTAATGCAATTTTCTACACCTCGGTATTATTTTGGAGTATGCAACTTGACACCTTACCGCAGCCTGATTGTCATGAAATGCTAGTTACCTACACTGAGGAGATTGAGGGGAGACAAAGAGTCACTTTTTTAGTTAATAAATGTCAATACTTAAGTTTCTAAAGTTTGTTTGCAGACTTTGGTTTAAGAGTACTTAACATTACACATTCTATATTGTAATTAGCACCACTATACTGTTAAATCACTACAAGCATCTCGAGTGTTATAGAAAAATGGAGTACTGGAGAACAAAGTTTAAGCTTCCAACAACCTTAACACAAATCCAGAATGGGTTTATATTTAAGCATCTCCTAACTGTTGTGATAATTGAAGATGCACTGCAGTGCACATATGGAAATGGAAAACTGCTTATTTCAGTCTCTTAGAACTGAAATGGGAGGTTTTCTGAAGCTTGGAAACTATTCCTGCAGTTAACCAGTATTTTTTTATCTCCAACCTGTTTAATGCATGAAAGACCTTGTTGTGAGCCTTCAGCCTGAATTAAATTGAATTCAGTGAGCCGTGTTAACAAGTACCCAAGTCTATTTTTAAATTACTTCTTAAAAGTTTTTAAAAACCTGGTTATCCCCCAATTCTATTTAACACTAGCTTCAATATTCTTTAAAACACAATAGTTCTCTGCACTTAATGAGAAAACCTCTTCTCTATTCCTTCCTTAAGCAGCAGCAGAAATATAACATCACTCCCTCAAGAAAGGTGATGGATGCCATATTCTAGTTATCTTTACTATCTGAAAGAAAAGATTACATAAAAATGGACAAATGAAATTGCCAGGTACTTTTCCTTTGGATAGGTTCTATGCAAAGCAAATTGGTCCAAGCCTGTATTCAAATGAATAACCATTTAACCCTAAAACATTAGTGCTCAACCCATCTGGTCCACAGGCTGGATCCAGAGTATGGAGCCAAGTCACCTGGCCCAGAGGGATAGATTTTCTTGGCCAATACTGATAGCTGGTGATTAACCAACCATATCAGCGACAGTATCAGTTGTTGCAGTTCCTAGAGCCACAGCCGCTCCTTGTACCACCAAATTTCCAGCTGCACAGGCCAAATGAGCTGGATCCAAAGGGTGGAACCATATCATGGACCAACCCTGCACCGCTCATCCAACTCAAGGGGGTTCCCCTAAGTCCAGAAGTTTGGCAGTAGAAGAGGCAGTAGCGTTAGTCACTGCAGTTCCAGAAGCCACAGCAGCTAACACAGCCATCACTTATCAGGCTGCAAGTTTCCAGGCCCTTGGTGAGGCCTGTATCCTAGATACTACTGCTCTTGACCAGATCTAGCCCACAGGTTACATCTTACATTGCATTGCTGCAGTATGCGAAGACAGCGGTTCCCAAACTTTTTATACTGCAGAGCAGCAAACTATCTGATTTACACATTTAAGTTTAATTTAGATATTTAAATTTGATTTTTAGGGGGTGAGGGTTGGGGCACTGCAGCTGCAGGCACTGGGGGACTCTGCAGGCGAGAGAGCTGCCCAGGCAGTAGTCCAGTGGACCCAGGAAGAAGGGGCTCTGCTGCCTTTCCTAGGAGCAGGCAGCAGAGCTGCCTTCCTGCCCTGGGCATTTCCCTGCCTGCATCCCCTCGCTCCCAGCCACAGGTGGAGCTGGGGGTACTGCCTGAGCCAGCACAGGCCCTGATACCTGGTGTGCGGGCAGCACCTTGCTGGGTGTGGCCATGGCAGTGGGAGCAGAACAAGGAGCATGTAGCCAGCTGCCTCCCTCTCTCCCGGGGAAGTCCTGCCACCCACCTTTAATCCCACACACAACTGCTGGGGACGGAAGCCTCCACCCAGCAGCCAGGCCGTGGCCCAGTGGTTGGCAACCTTCGTGCCAAGAGGCTGCAGTGCTGCTCTTTTTATAAAAGGCAGCTTCTTGCATGAGACCATCCAAGGAGACTCATTATAATAGATCAGCGTTTCTCAGCCTGTGGGTTGCAACCCCAAAGGGGGTAAAACAAGCACGTAGGAAAGGGTCACAAAGCAACTTTAAAACTGGATTATCTTTTAAAGGAGAAAAATGTGGCTTTTCCCTCGCAGGCTGGCAGACTTTGGGGGGGGGGAGGGGAGGGGAGCCCTGCCCCTCACACTAAAGTCTGGTGGCAGGAACGGAGGGAGTGGGTCAAGACCGGCTGCAGGGTTACAGACAGTCCTTCTCGTCCACTCTCAGCCCCAAGACCAGGCTGCCGGACCCTCTGTTTTCCACCTCAGGTGCCCATCAACGGGGACGGAAGCAGCCTGCTGGGCCCTGCGGGCACACCGGGACCCCGCTAGGGGCGCGCCACCCACACCAGCCGCTTCCGGGCCTGGAGGGCAGAGGTCTAGCCCCCACGTGATCGCTCGGGGCACTCCCCAGTCTACTCCACGCTGCTACCCGGTGCCAGGAACCGGTCCCTGGGGGCGGGGGGCCTGGGCTGGGGCCACCTGTCACTGGCTCCCGGGCTCCTCGCACGCGCTCCCCACCCCCACCCCGGGGGCAGGTCGAGGCCCGGTCCCCCACTCACGGCGTGCAGCGGTCGCTATACTCGTTGGCGATGGTCTCGATACCCCCGGCGCGGGCTACGGCGACGTAGCAGCCCTGGAAGCCCAGATCGATGCCCACCACCGACATACTGCGGGCCGGGCGGGCGCGCTGAGGCGAGGCGAAGCGAGGCGGGATGGGGTGAAGCGGAGCGGGCCGCACACGGCGCCTCCCTGGGCGGACGCAGCCGACTCGGCCGGTTTAAATGAGCGGCGCTGGCTCCAGCGGCTCCTCGCGGGGGGGGGAGGGGGAGTTCTCGAAAGATCCCGTCCCGTCGGGTTGGGGCGGCGGGCCAAGGAATGAGCTCTCGCGAGATTTCTCACAGGCGCTGGCTCATTGGCTCGCGCTCTGTTGGCCCTGCCCCCCCCAGCTGCAGTAGTGGAATGCTGGGGAGATGAGAAACTGCCCCCTGGGATCTCCTCGCGCGGTGCCGAGACAAGCTGCTGCTGCGCATGCTCAAACCTCAACTAATTAGACGGAGCTCAAGAGGCTCCGCCCTCTGCTGACGCCACTTTACCTCCCGCCAGCAGTGTCGCCCCAGGTGTACTGTAATTATTCTAGTTTTAGAGTCGTTTCACCCCTTTTAGGCTGTAGCCTCAATAATAGTCGAAGCTTTCAAAATGTACCATAGGCAAGCAAGTTTTTTTGTGGGGTAAATCTGATATCGTTTATTAAACCAACTCAAGTAGTTGGAAAAAATTCTTGGCAAGCTTTGGGGTGCACACATCCTTCCTCAGCCTGAGGAAGTCTGTGCTCTTCTTTTTGAGGCAGCGAATTGATGCAGCAAAACCCACATCACTCCCTGGGAGTGTTCACCGACTCTTGGGTTTGTTTGGGTTGTTTTTTTTAATTTAAATTTTCCATATTCCAAGTCAAATTAGCCGTAACAAATTCCAAATGCAAGAGTCAGTCCAGAACCGTAAGTGGCCCTGCTACCAGCAAACAACTGACTTGTGGGTGTTGGGGGGTTGGTTTTTTATATATAATTTGTATCCAACGCCAAATTCTCCAAAACTAAGTCCAAATCTGCCCGCACCTGGGGCTTCAGCTGTTTCCAAAACCTTTGGTGGGCATCCTGCTTGCAGGCTCAAGCTCGGAGGCTGGAGGTTCAGATGCCCGAGTTCTGCTTGCCCTCAGCTGGAAGGCCCTTGGAGCAAGCAAGGGAGGAGACTCCTATTTCCAGAAACTGGGCTTAAAGCTGCTGCACCTCAGCAGGTCCTGAACTGCACCAGAAGACCAGTTCTCCTGCGAAGCGGTTCAGGAAAACTGCCTTCATGGACTTTTTTCTTCCTTTTATTTTTAAAGAAATGTTTTATGTTCCAAGCCAAATCAAGTCCAAATCCATGAGTCAGTCCAGAACATAAGTGGCCCTGCAACTGGCAAACATCCTCCACCCCCACCAGGAGCTTCAGATATTTCCAAAGTTTTTGGGTGGGCCTTCTACGTGCAGACCAAAGCCCGGAGGCTTGGGGTTCAGATGCCCCTGAGTTTCACCTGCCCTCAGCTATATGGCTGCAGGAGCAACCTAGGCAGGAGCCTCCCATTTCCATAAAGTGGGCTTTAACTCCAAACACCTCATTGAGTACTGAACCATGCCAGAAGAACGGTTATCCCCGGGAGCGCTTAAGGGAAACTGCCTTTATAGACCCAGATACATGGTGTTTCCCCTGTCAGGTAAGTCTTCTTGGACATAGATGTGCTCCTGGCACTTCCTTAGGATGGCTTGCCTCAAAATAAGGAAATGCTTCAACTTCGATGACTCATCTCTCACTCACTGGGAACTTGCAGCGAGCAATATAAAGTAAATTGATATACTTATTTGCATAATTTTTTCAGTGTATGATACTTTTTTTCAGAAAATACAATAATTTTGAGCTTCCAATACAATAATTTCACATTTAAGACCAGGCTACATTACTCAGTGCGTTAGCGGGGAACCTAGTGGCTGTGCCCTGCCCTTTTCTCAAACCATGCTTCAGTGTTGCCAGCTGTATAATAATTATTTGTACAATAATTTTAACCCTTGTACAATGTACAGTTAATAAGAGTAAAAGTGTTCAAAGTGTATGATCATTTTGAAAGCAGCTAATTGATGCAACATATACAAACCCAAATCACTCTCAGGAAGATCTAACTGACTTTTAGGCTTGCTGCCAATACTGTCTTATGATTGCTTGCCTCAAAATAAAGAAATGCTTTAACTTTCTTACTCACTTATTAGTGACTTACAGAGAGCAATATAAAGTATTGCAGACTTATTTGCAGACTTATTT